TGCTTACTGTGACTACCACAACATCTGTTAACACGTGATTAAACATCTGGATGTTATTACTAACGTTCAGAAAACTGCCATACAGCTATACACAGAAACCATTGAAAGCAATCATTATGAATGAAAAGTAAGCAAAGAATGTTTCAATTACTGCCATAGTTTATGAGTGTTATGAATGTGTTATAATGGTATTATGTTGGTATTGCACAATTAAGCAATTGTTAACAGCACAGGCTGTTAATCTTACTAAGAGCTCCCACCATTTAAGTAAAAACAACCTGTGTTGTCTAGGTCATTTCGCCGGCCAGAGCCTGCAGGTTCCAACGACAATCTAACAAGCCTGAAACCTCAGGATACACTTTCACCATACGGATGTCAATGGGCATCACTGGTGAAGGTCACGACTCCGCCATGGTTTATGGCACGGTTCTTCAACTCTGGACCTCGATTCCAAATCCAGGCCGTGTTTTCAGTTCTCCCAGGTAGTTAGTTTAATAATTACTGATTCTGATTGGTCAGAGGCTTCACACCTGACTGACAGGTAAAGAAAGGCTGGAAAACCAGCAGTGCTCGGACCCTGGTTTATGGCATCTCGCATAGGGTTAGAAGCAACTGAAGGCTCCATCGGGGCAGGAACATACCAGGCCACATCTCAACAGCCTGGACTCAATCTAAGGGCATCCGAAGGAACCCGACGTTACAGGAGCCTGAGGCATCCCCCCTCTTTACAGCTGCAGCCTAGTGGGCCTCAACACGGACAAACGCCACTGTGCTGCTGTAAAATTCTGCTGCAATACTTGCTTTTGGTTGTGAGCTCCACATCCAACAGCACACAGTGGGCGTCGGAGCAGAGTGCATAATGAAAGGTTGAGCATCGCGCTATTTCCAGCACATTACACTCCAGGCCAGACCCAACACAATGCCATTAACGTCTAAATGCCGCGTCTGACACTTGCCTACTAGCATGTCTGCTTCCCATATTTCTACTGCTGCCATGAACGTCAGGCCCCGGGGGTTCTGTGCATGCTGGGAAACAACAGCTGACACGTCAGCGGCCGTGATAAAGCCCAAAGGACTCGGAGGGACTGGACAGAGCCCCATGAGTGACACCCTGGACCAGAGGTGGACAGTTCAGGTCCAGAAATTACAAATCCCGACTAAGATTTTGTTTCAACCAACCAGTCGAGTATGAAAAGTTACAGTGACAGAGTTTCAACTGGTTGTAATTTTACATTCTTCTGAACCACCTTTGCCCTGGACTGCTTTCCCTTCCTTTTTGAGCTACGTTGCAGGTTTGAGTCTTCATACCAGAGGAGAGCTACCAAGTGGGCTTGTCATTTAGATCAAGCAGCACAGCTCCGGCACTTGATATGACAAAATGAGCTCAGTGAGTATCCTGCTGATCTTCTGAAATCACGGAAATGGAATATTTTAATACTGATGTTACACAGCACACAGCTATGAATCCTAATAGCATAGTGCGATGGCGGAATGCGGCAGAGAGCTCTCCACAGCAGGGTATGAGGGTCTCTTCTCTGTACCCAGCCCACAGAGGAGAACCTGGCAGTCTGAGAGGAACCTCCACAAGGTTTACACTCCCCCACATACAACACCACACAACAGGGAGCCCACTGAGAACAAGGGAGAGATTTCTCTAGGAACGTCTTGCACAATAAAAGCAGCGATAAGACCAAGGCGGATGAGTAAAATATGTGTCAAGACATACAAATGTGTGAGAGATACATACCTCAAGGTCTCATTGTTCTGGGAGGGTGAGAGGTCCCCTACACACATACTAACAGCCGTATCAAAAACGGTGACCTTAAACCAAGGTCAGTATAGATCCCACAGCATAATGGGGAATCAAGGCTGTAGGCTTAGTCTCAACATTGGTAGGGACCAAATCAGCCCTGAACCCCCCACCCCCCTAAACACACACAATTCCCACAATATTGGACATGTCCCTCCTCCCTCCATACCCTTAGGAAAAACCTACCTGCAAAGCATCTACTACAGCACAGAACGCTCTTCTCATCAGTACAAGTCTGTCAAGGTCCAAGTCAATCAACACTTAAGACTGATTTATACTTCAACAGTGAATATGCAGTAAGTACAGTGCAGCCTGAAGTGCTGCACTGTATTTACGGCACACATTGTGGTGACGCAGATCAAATCAACTGTGATTTGTCCACTTGGTAGCATCGTACTTCTTCCTACACAAATGTTTTGTTGTTGTTTCTTGGCAGCTGGGGGTATTTTAGTGGTGGACAAGTCGTGTTAATATTACATTGCTGGCCTGCTGTTTTTTGCCACGGCTGTAGCCATTCGCCTTGTTAAAAAATATTGAGATATTTATAAAGCAAAAAAGGAGTTCAAAATACGTAATTATTACACAAACTCATCTACGAGTGATTTAAACAGGAAGGGTGAAAGTGATTATGATTGGCTTGGAGAGAGCATGAAGAGTTCATGCAAAAGCAGTAGGGATAGACGTTGAAATGATTTTTAAATACCAGATACTTTTGAAAAGAAATAATCCTTAAAACTGCAAAGCTTGCTAAGGTATGTTTCTAATAACAGAGTAGAAATGTTTTAGCAAAGAGCACCGTGCTCAGTCAACTAGCGGTTTGGTGACGCAGACTGACACAGACACACAAGCGCACAAGTACAAATGCTCGCAATGCTGTTGGCCAGTTGCATAGGCTGCAGAATATGCTCTGTGTATAAATCAGCCTTTAGTGTCCAGAGAGCAGCAGCAGAATAGAGACAGACCACCGCACTACCTACCAAGGAGGACCTGACCCAACCAAACTTAGACCCCCGGGTACAGCTGCCCTTCTACAGCCTTGCACCTGCCTGTTGAAGTCCATTGCCCAAGATTTCCTACAGATGCTTAAATGGTTATTGGCTAATTGAACACACCATTGTTTGGTTAAACGATGCTAGCAGTAAGGTTTTGTCACTTATAGAACGAAGTCCAAATCACAAACCATCGAACTGCGACTTAATGACACTGATTATCGGAGACGTGATTTCATATCATCCCAAGCCTTTGTTCCCAAAAACTTTTCCAATACCCGCCGAAGACACATGCGCCACTATTGTAAAACGTCGGCAGAACAGAGAGGTCTCTTTTCGAGCAAATATTAAAAGGAGACAAGCAAACCAGGAGTGAAAAGAGAACATTATGGATCCGAGCTGTGAACTTGGACAGTGGGGCTTTCAGCAGTGAGAGAAGGGAAAGGGTCATCAGACCAGCAGACTTAATGCAACATCCTGCTCCGGCAGCCATCAAAATCAGTTCACCAGTTCAAACCTTGTCCTCCAATCTAAATTGGGCCCTTGAGCAAAGCCCCTGACCTCTGAAATGCTTCTGAGACGCTTAGACTCCAAGCTTCACTCTCAACTACATATAAGTCTTTGTATTCTCAAAAGGAGAGAAAGATGGGATATATCAAAAGCATAACAGAAATATATGGACAACGTTCTGCTGCTGACTGCTCAGAGACGAGCTGCAGTGACAGGCCTGGGTTTCTGGTCCCAGCAGCCCAGTTTCCATCCGTTCCCATTACTACACACCACATAACAATATGCCTTTATGGGTTCTTTCTTATGTAAATCAGACAGCATCCTTAAGAATGTCACAGTTGTACACAGAGAAGCAGCCATTATAACTGCCTGTAATTACCCAGGGCCAGACCACTTCTAAACAGGCCCATAATTTGAGGTAGCGCGGGTAGCGAGCTGGCTGCTTGCCTTCCAGTTGGCAGAGTACGAAGGTGACAAGCGATCAGTCCAGCTAGGGCAATGGCCTTGCAGGTGTCACGTTACGGCCACTGTAGCTTAAGCAGGTACGAAGGGGAGCCAATGACATAAAACGAGCATTTAACCAAGTCGTGATTAATCGAGCAATTAATGAAAAGTTCTGCGATTTCAAAAGGGAGCTCTGCATATTACAGAACATCTAACATACACTCTGAATAATCCAGTGAGGTCTGAGGCAGTGGATACTCAGTCAGCCAGTGAGGCTAGAGGCAGCAGAAGCCAAGTAAGCCAGCGTGGTTAGAGGCAGCAGACGCTTAGTAAGCCAGTGAGGTTAGAGGCAGCAGAAACTGAGCAAGCCGACAGCTGACCTAAAGGTTATCCCAAAAACCTGCATATACACTGGCCCTTTGTGGATTGAGATTGCCCACCTCTGCTTTAATAGGACAGAGCTGGGGCATGCACAAAGTGCGCTTCGAGAGCCTTCCCATTGTCCTGATAGCTCACCTCCAGGTGAAGCCCTCAGCATGGCTTTCCCCCGCAGCCAGGGATTCCTCAGGGCCACAGAGGCTTTGTGTGACGGCCAGTGTCCTCTCTGGACTACTGAGGGCAACAGGCTGTCAAAGAAAAAGGGCCCAGGGATGGAACAACTTATGAATAGCCATTGCTGAGCCTTCCTGGTACCTGTGCCGGTTCAGTGACGTCCCAGAGAAGGGCTGTGGCCGTCCAGGCCTGGCTCAGCCACGGAGCGTGTGCACAGCCACAGAGCAGCGACGAAAAGCTCGCAGGTTGCGCAATGGATGTAAAAATAGAGCACAGATGGTCCTCCCCCCAGCCCAGCACAGGGGGAGCCTCCAGGCCGGTACCAGCAGCACTCACGCGTGCGCTTGAGTCACACGCAGCCCACCGGCCCATCCCCCAATGCCCAGCCCCCGCCCTGGCAGACATAGCCAATCACAGAGGGGGTCACTTACGCCCCCGTGTTTTCACCAGGACGTGAAGCGGGGGCTTTCTGCGCACGAAAACAGACAGGAACAGCAAACAGGTGCGTTCTGGAGATGCAGAGGGTACATGGTGACCATCAGCAGGGCAGAAGATGCCTTGACCATAAAGCACCAACATTGTCAAGGCAGCGGGCACCTGCTGAAGCTTGTGCATCTAGAGCGGACGTCACGCAGATCACAGGAGACTGACACACACGTGTCCCCGCATGCGGGAGCAGCAGCAAAGGGCCGTACCTCCAAGCTCGTCACGGCGGTCCGGCTGATGCCAGCATTGAGGGAGGCCCAGGAACGCGCCGTGAGCACGCAGGCAAACAGCGGGAACATGTCTCCAGCTCCCAAGCGGCGGCTGTACCGCTCAACGCCCTTCATGTCCGCTTTCATCAAGGCTCGCCACAGCCGACAGTAGTCTAGACGGAAGGCCTGGTTGAGAACCTTAGAGAGAGAGAGATGCACACCAGAGAGTCACCACCAAGCCGTAGACCACGCTGCTGAGCCCAAAGCAGCACCCTCGCCTGAAGTGATCTTCAACCCAGCGGCTAAGGACTCCTAACTGATCTGGGATCAGTAGTGCAAGGGGTGGATATGCTTATCCAGGCAAGTACCACAGGCCAGTGAGGTCTCACCTGATACAGGCCATGGTCAAGCAGCACTATTTCACTCCTCTTGCTTTTGGGGCACTTCCGGACCAGGACGTTACCAGGGTGGGGATCACAGTGCACAAAACCATGGACAAATATCATCTCGCTGTACATCTTCCCCAGGTTCCTTGATATCTGTGGGAAACACAGACTGTAACTATGCATGCTGACATGTGACCTCAACTGCATCACTGCAAACACATAATATCCGTAATCCACGATCTCCAGTGGGAGCAGGGATGCCCAGGATGGGGAACTCACTGGGGGCTTCTCTCCCTGCTGATGGATACGAGATCTCCTCTCAAAAAGTCAGTCATCCGATGGGGTGGATTCACGGTAAAAACCCCTCATGTGAGAAAATCCAACATCGGGGGAAGGTACACTGATAGCCAATACCCCAGTGCAATTATGTTATTTCGCAGACGTTTTTATTCAAAGCTATATAAATATGAAGCAAATAGCACAGTGCAAACATACATGCTGTCAAGAAGTTCACCAGGCATAGGTGGTTTCCCAAAGAATGCCCAGGTACAAGTGTAAGCAGTACAGGAGCAGGAGCTACAAACCAACTACACATCTAACAAAGCAAGAACCTAATAAGGACCAGATGTACAACAAAAGAACGTTATTCAGGGAACATAAAGGATTATGTACATGGATATTTGCCGAGTGGCAACTAAATGGCAGAGACCAACATGCAGAGCTGCTTTGATTGCACACTGTAGCTCTCAAGCTCATTAAACCCACATGATGACTCCGCTGTACTCAACAGTGAGGCAGCAGCATCGCTATAAATGCTAATAAGTGATTCGCGCTGTGATGTCGGTGTGGCCCCCCCCCCCTCATCTCGGTGTCCGACTGCCTGACTCACGTACGCGCTTCCCTGCATACGAAAGAACAGCTATCCATGGCTATGCGGTTTCACTGACGCTACTTCATTTTAAATGACCTCTAATGAAGCGACAAGTGGTCCAAGGGCTGTCAGGAGGCCCACTGTTTCATGCTCGGTGACTATGGCGAAGTCACTTGTCGACGGCACGGAAACCTCACCGACAGTGCTAATGGAAAAGCTTCCCTTTTCACTGCGTTTACAGCCTTTCTCTTTGCACAAGAAGAGTGACAGTCTGACCAGCCACATGCGAGGTCACTGGCTATCCCAGCTGCCCGCTAATTAGCTTCAGTGCTGGTTTTTATGTTATTTATCGTAACCATATAAAGCAAAAATGGAGCAAATGAGTCAGCAGAAAAGCGAACGCATCTGAAGGTCTCCGTTTAATCTGCTCCAGCCGTCCGCTGTCGCTAATCAATACTGAGCGAGACAGAGAAGCCCTTTTTACGTGGGGCAGCAGTAACCCTAATGATCTCCATTCAGGAACTGGCATGTGGGCAGCTGACTAAGCTGATCTTCAACCTGATAACACCTATGGGTTCCTAGCGCCGCCCCCCCCAGCTCTTGAGAGGTCATACATGTGATCATTCATGAAGGGCTGCCATCAAAAACAGCCTACGAGACCACAGCTGGACAGGCGCAGACTAAAGCTGATGGACTTCAGAGTCTTCCGGGAGCTTCTGTTGGCATGGATCAGCTCCTCGCAGACAGCGTAAAGACGATGACCTTCATGTCGAGAGCGGCTCGGTCTTTATCTCCTGTCCCAACAACTCATTCCGCACAGGCTGTTCCTCCTTTATCGGGTTCCTCTCCTCTAACCACCCGGTAGTTGACAATCCTTTGGACGGGACCGCTTGCCGTCCGATGTGCTGAGCCAGGGAGAATTCTCCAGCCCGCTGCTGCATTATAAAGCTGAACATCCCTAAATGCCAGGTGCCTCGACTGCCTTGCCCTGTAGGTGCGACACCTCAAAGCCTCATTCGACCACAGATAGACATTTACATCAAAGAGCCCCCATGATACATAAGAAGGCAAAGCAGGATCTAGTCATGAGTCTCACACTATTGGTCATAGAAAATCTGCAATAAACAGCATCACTACCCTGATGTGGTGGAGTGGCTCAGCTAAGTCTCTGTGCCTGTGATCAGAAGGTTGCTGGTTTTAAGCCTGGCCTTGGCATGTCTGCAGATCCCTCAGCAAGGCTCTTAACCCCCAGAACCCTGTGTGCCACAACAGGTGGCTGCCCACCTACAGAGAGCAAGTTGGGGGAGGCATAAAGAGAATTACCCCACAGAGATGAATTACTTACACGACTGTTACCATATTTCCAACTCTCCATAGTCAGTGTCCTGTAATCCTCCAGTATCCCACGCTGCCCTGGACCATGCTCACAGATGGCCCCGCCTCCTCTAAGGGTCCCACTCAAGCCATATAAGGCTAAACATTTGTACTCTCATTCCTTGCTACAAGTACCACATTCCTGTAAGTCTGGAAGAAAAGGTCAGGACATTTTTCACACAGACAGCTTAATAAACGTTCTGCATTGATTCACTGTGCTGTATTTTTGCAGTGCATGACCAGGAAATTATATATTGGAAAGTCATAAAGTGTGGTAATGTATGAGAAAATCCTCCTGGACCTTCACGTGAAAGATTAGGCAGAATCTGCAGCAGGTAGAGGATGCCTCTGTAGTGATACTGAGGTACCATGAGGCCTGCAGTGTACTTGGGTCCTACAAAACCCCCAGAGGATCAGACAGGAGATGATGGAAATTATCTGCTGTCTTGCATTAGAACAATGTTTCCCAATACGGTCCTGGGGGACCCACAGCCGGTCCATGTTTTTGCTCCCTCCGAGTTCCCTGTCAGACACTCCACATTTTTGCTCCCTCCCAGCTACCTGCCAGGAACTGAGAGGGAGTAAAAACACAGACTGTCTGCAGGTCCCTCAAGTCCCAGGATGGTAAACACTGCATTAGAAGGTGAGGAGCTCTGAGCAGAGCTGGTAACATGCTAGCATGAACTCTGCAAACAGGAAGCAAGTCCCGTGAGCCACCATGGCAACTCTTAAGAGGCTCCACTTTGTGTAAGACTGGGCTGGTAAGAGATTACGCCGATGATTCACTCCGATCTGTCGGCTCTGGCAGGCTCTGGGCCAGAAGGCCCTCCGCAGGACCACGCTCAGACTAAGAGAGCTCATAGACAGAACAGACCAACAGCGCCATGGGGGGGGGCAAGGGAGGATTAGCGATAGGGGCACCCAGAGCCAGGCAAGGCTGTGGGCACCCTACTGCAGGGTTCCTATTGTGGCTGCGGCTTTGCTGGGCGGCCACTCGCTGGACTCCCGGGACCTGCATGAGGAGCTCGGTGTGGGACGGGCACAGGGGGGTCGAGACAGCACTGATAGGGAGAGGGAGCCCTCTGAAACGGTGCTAAGCACTACTTAGAAGTGTCATTGTGTTATCTGTGCAGAAGGCAGAGAGAGAAAGCTCCTCCATACTGATTACAGACAGTACTCCCCCTTAAGTGAGGCTGAGGGAATCTCCACTGTTGCATAGAGTGGAGAGGTACTCCTTAAGAGGCAAAACTCCCAGTACAAGAGGCAGAATGTAAAAGTAAACGAGATGCGTACTGCGACCAATCAGGGACCAGAGGCCCGATGTGCAAATGATATGCACACCAGCAGACAGGACGCTAGGGCTCAGCAGAGGCCCACATATTCGCCGCTCTCACACATTCGCCAAAACAGAGAAGAGCCCACTTGTGATCGCTTAGACAGAAGCTCTTGTGCAGATGCTGCTGTCATTTCATAATTCTCTGCATTTTCTGGGGAGGACTCCATTTATCAAGCTTGATATCCATCTCATCAGCTGTCTAATAACTCTCATTTTCCACAACGAATGCCGCTCCACCTGATAAAAGAGTGACACAGGACGGCCGTTTACGTGCTTGGGGAGTACACGGCGCCGTGATGACAGCGCAACGGGACCCGGCAGCGCGGCCCGACGGCCTTCAGCCGCCGTGCTCCGTGACAGCGCTCTTTAATCAAAGAGACTTACGGTGATCACACTCGTGCGTGCGGTGAACACGGCCTCTGTGATGCACAGGATCCGGGGGAAGGAGAGAGGGGCATGCTGGGTATTAGTCAAGATGTGTGCTTTTAAATAGTAAGGAGCCCAGTAGCACAGTTAGGGCTAGAGTTAGAAGACCGTGGTACAGCAAAGGTTAGAGCAAAGAGATCAGTAGTAGAGCAATAGGTATAGTAAGGAGGTGAGAGGTCAGTAGTACAGAGGGTCCAATAACTGATTTTCTGTTATTTCTGTTATTTGAATTGGGCGAAACCAATACCGATTTCTTTCGTTCTGTAAGGGGAAGGTGTGACCTCAAAAAGTCTATTCATCGTGACGTGTATCTATCTTTAATGCAAATTCAACCAAGGGAACAGAGGCAGTAAAATGGAAGTCAAATATTGAAGTCAAATCTCAGCTTTAAAGCCGATTGCGGAAACGTTGTCATGGATAAGACCGCGGAGCTGGGCTTTCACGGTTTGATACAACCGTGGTAGAGCCACGTCCCTGAAGTTTCTCATTGGTAGACGGTATCGTGGTAGAGCCGCGTCCCTGAAGTTTCTCATTGGTAGACGGTATCGTGGTAGAGCCCACGTCCCTGAAGTTTCTCATTGGTAGACGGTATCGTGGTAGAGCCCACGTCCCTGAAGTTTCTCATTGGTAGATGGTATCGTGGTAGAGCCGCGTCCCTGAAGTTTCTCATTGGTAGATGGTATCGTGGTAGAGCCGCGTCCCTGAAGTTTCTCATTGGTAGATGGTGTCGTGGTAGAGCCACGTCCCTGAAGTTTCTCATTGGTAGATGGTATCGTGGCTCTAAATGAGCCAAAAGACGTTTGAAATCCACACCTTCTACAACCGACAGCGGCTGGTTCTCCAACCCAATAAAGTATAATTTTGGCTGCGGCATGTTCTGCTTTCTTACTTTCCATACTGTAGGGCTTGACTTTTTTCACTGTTGTCGTTAAGGGTGGTTGCACAAGAGCTACTTTGCTAGTCACAGCAGCCTTAGCATTTGCACGTTTTTCAAAGTCTGCATTTCCAGTGGCTGCTTTTCAGGTGTCGATTGAGGTTTGCGGTGTTTTTTTTATTTTAATTTTTTTTTTCTTCACTATCCCCCACAAGCAATTTCTTACCTCACAAACTGCATATTTGTCATCTTTAGTAGAGACATGATAAAACCGGCAGAGCGGTGAGGACATATGCATTCTTACTCTACAGCGCTTGCCTTACATTTTTTTGTGTCACTCCCCTTTCCTTAAAATTATTCATTTTTTATTTAAATCAGCCCTTAGAGAGACCACCGAGTCATTTTAGGTGGGGATACTGATCAATGGTCGATTGATTAGAATCTGTAGTCAGCAGTACAGCAAAGGTTAGAATATGGAGGTCAAGGGTCCAGGAAAGACACAAGTAAGGAGGGCAGTGGTACAAGATAGGGTACAATAAGAATGTCAATGGTACAGACCGGACCACACCAAATAGAGTGCGGTGGGGCAGAGTGAGATAATATACAATGCGGCACAGCAGAAGCAGGAGAGGCGTGACAAGCTCAATGTCATTATGCCATCCACTGCAGAATGTCCAAATGAGAGCAGGAGTGCTGGGTTAAAGTCTTCAGACCTGTGTCCAGCCGGGCCGGGGGTCCATGTCAGAGCCGTGTCCAGTCGGCCGGGGGTCCATGTCAGAGCCGTGTCCAGCCGGCCGGGGTCCATGTCAGAGCCGTGTCCAGCCGGCCGGGGTCCATGTCAGAACTGTGTTAGTCCCCCACCTCGTACGCAGACACGCTGCACAGCTGTGGGAGGCCAGCGTGCCCACAAAGCCTGGCCAATGAGGTGCCATAAACCACACGTAGGCTGATTTTAGCCAATAAATAAACCTGCAATCACCAAAAAAAAAAAAAAAAAAAACAAGAGATCCATCTGCTTGCTTCTGAATATATAAAATACTATTAATGTGTGATGGTGAGACATGTCAGCACCCCACGTGGTGGCCTGGCATCGAGGTTCTCCATGAGGAGACACAGGACACAGCGTTCTAAAACATCACGAGTCACCCTTAAGCGCGCTGAACTGCTTCGTCACCCACTCCCATCTAATAAAATTTGTCTAAACATAAGCTTTGGGATTACCACAGCTTTCGCTAGTCTGAAATTGGATTTAACTGAAATTTCACAGGACGAACGTCCCCGAAGAGCGCTCTCCTGTTTAGCGCCGAAATGTGAGCTATTCAGAAGCGGCTGGGCCCGGAAGCTGCGACGGGCTCCTGCGGGGACAGGGGCCATTTCATGCCATTTGCTCGGCAAACACTGGGAGCCTGTTCGCTGCTGTCAAACGTGCACGTCGTAGCTCATTACCTCCAACTGAAGGCGGAGCCTGCATCTTATTTATGGATCATATTTAAGTATTTCTGTAACACAACAATATTCTGTTTTCGGAACAATCTATTGATGCACTTTTTGCACCACGTTCACTTGTTTGCACTATGTGCACTGCCTTTACACCAGTGTCTGTTTGGCACTATATGTATGCTCCTCTGTGCACTATGTTCTGTTGTATGCAACAGAATTTCCCCCTGGGATCAATGATCCATCTTGGCACAGTTACTTGCAGGATTCAGTTACAGATGTATCGACATGAAAGAGGCCCTTTTTGCATTAGCTCAGGGTTCCGCTTGACTGGGGTCTTGAATCCATGGGGCACAACTCACATTCCATACGGGATGGGCTTTGGGTTACGCCTCGCCCACAGCGGGGCTCAGGTCACAGCCATGTTCCCCTGAATGGACACCTCTTCTGTGCCAGGTGTAGGTGGGGCATCAGCCGCTATATCAGCACGTGTCGCTGGGTTCCGGGAAACGGCTTTGGCTCCACCTCCGTGCAGCCTGACGTGAAACCTACAGGAAACGTCTCCAAAATCCGGCCGGACTCTGGTCCCTTTCCATCCCTGTGACTCCCGCTCTTCCCGGACCTTTCCAAAGCGGTGCACGGATGTCAAATTCAACAGGGCGTCTCTTATCAGTAACACAGGTTGAAGGGGGAATAAAACACAGCCCAAAAAAAAGTATGTAATTAAGCTGAATGAGACGAACAGGAAAAGAACTCAGGTGGCAGTAAATCACGAGGCAGCAGCCAATCAGAGGCTGCCTGGGTGCCTTTGTTCTGGGCGCGACCCCAAGGTCCCGCATCCGTGCTTACATCCAGCTGAATACTGCAATCTGCCCTATTCTCTAGCACATCCTGCTCAGGAGCTGCCACTCGGAGGAACCACAGATGCTGGGCAATTCAGGATGTTTCTGTTGCTAGCTGGCTACCTATTAAAGACATCTGGCAGCTGCTGGAGGGGGGAATTATTTCAACCGAGCTTTAAAAAAGCAAAACGTGACTGAAGTAGAGCGAAACTGAGAGCGTCAGCCGGCCTCACCCAACAAGATCCGGGCCGTTTTGAGACCCGTGACACCGAGGTGCGGGGTGGCTGGGAAGGGATGCCGACTAATTACACTCATTCAGAGAGAAGGTACATGACCAAAAGGCATGCTAAGCTAAAGGAAGCCTTTCATCTCATTGGCAGCATGGGAAGCTGCCGTCATACAGGCCAATAGCTCACATAATGCCAGCAAACAGCAGCCTGCTCGCTCACACATCTCTACATCATATTCATTTTCATTTTATTCATTTATCCAAAGCAACACACATTTTCTTGAGAACGCAGGGTCAGCGAGTACCTGAAGTGAGTGAGCAAACACAGGGATGTGAACCAGCAACTTTCTGATCACGGCAGCAACATGCTGAGCCGCACACCAGCAAATGGATCTCAGCCGGCTGAAAACACACGGCTAAAGTCACACTGTTAAGTTACGGAGTGGACCCGTCAACTCCACCCCGACACCCCCCCCCCCCCCAGGTCTGTAGAAGCCCAGATTGAATCACTCGATTTCGAAGCTACTCCTGAGCCAGCGGGTTAAAAAGCACAAAAACATTTAGTCTCCGATTCCTTTCTTGTAGCCAAAATGAGGATAAATATTTAGGTTGACATTCATTACAAACGGCAAATCTTACGCAAGACTCTACAGAAGGGCTCACTTACCGCAGTCCTACAGCATTAAGCAGCTCTGTTGTCCCACATGACAGCAACACTCTGATCACCTTCAAACCATCACCTTTTCAAACCTAATACATCAGCCAGACTTCCCTCCCAAATGGCGATGCAGGGTAACGGCGGGTTGGGGAGTTAAAAGGGCCCCTTCTCCCTGAGTGGAGGTGTGGACTGACAAGACTGGAACGTGGGATGCGGACGACTAGAGCAGGGAGGACATCCTGACTGTGGCTCTCTCCCCACCAAAGACACACGGAAGCAGGTGAGACAGTGGATGAAGACCATTAGTTACGAGGAGGGGGCTGGCCTCGAGAGAGGGCTCCAGACTAAGTGTAGAGGCAGAGCGGTCTTTCACGGGTGAGACGCAGGACAAGCGATCATGTCAACTCACTGCCCCCCACATCTACACGGGACACACACAGAGCACAGCTCAGGGCTCAAAGGACACAATCGGCCAGTCAATATCCCATTAGCATCATAGGATCTGAACTGCCTGTAAGCACAAGGACTGATCACTGGCAGCCGGATTAAGTCCGTCTGTGTTAATCAAACCTCTTTAAGTACCCAGGGTCTTGATTATGATTAACTGGCTTCCTGACCTCGGAATTAAGCAGATTTATAGAGATAAACACACTTAATATGCCTCAGTGCTGGTGCCCATATTTACTGAACAGCAGAAGAAACCGGCTTGGATGGAGATCCTCACACAAGCGTGCATCTGCAAGTCGTGTGCTGGGGGGGGTGGGGGGGGAGATCCACGGAAAGCTGACTCATCAGCAAAATGATGTCAGCAAACCAGGAAGTCTGAGCGCGACTTTGGGTTCCGGCTCCCCCCTACCTCACCTCATTAACGTCGATGCTGTGTCGTCTCATGTACTCCCGGTCATTCACCTGCCCCCCCTCCATAAAGTCCATGGTCAGGATGCGCTTGGTGGACAGGTCCCAATGAATCTTAGGAACCTGCAAAAACAGAAGCCCAGTGAGCAGTCCCGAACAGTGCAGTGCCGCTCCTGTCCCTTCCCGGACAGTGCAGTGCCGCTCCTGTCCCTTCCCGGACAGTGCAGTGCCGCTCCTGTCCCTTCCCGGACAGTGCAGTGCCGCTCCTGTCCCTTCCTGAACAGTGCAGTGCCGCTCCTGTCCCTTCCTGAACAGTGCAGTGCTGCTTCTCTCCCTTTGTAATTAGTGATGTTTCATTCAGTTTATTTTTTCATTTTACATTATTACTTATGCTGCACTGCTAACTGATTTAACATAGCTAATAGCATGTTAAATCTACAGATCCCTGTACTTAAGTCAGGTAAGCCAGGTATTTTTTATTTCCATTCATTTCTATGGGCAAAACCCTAATCCCGACAATCTTAACCCTACCCTTAACTATAATTCACCAAACAAAATACTTTTGGCGTTTTTTGTTTTTTTTTTTTAAATAAAAACGACATTCCCCTTGTGGGGATCAAAAAAAGCGGCCTCCACAACGTCATAATAGCAGGTTATTAATCACATTGTCGGGATTTGGTCCCCACAATGTAATATATACATAATCACACACACACACACACACACACACACACACACACACAGTTGTCCATATGGTACACATTTAGTCTTTATTTGTCTAAAGCAGGGGTGGGAAAATCACATGCAAACATATCCTTCCTGCTTTGATCGGTTACTGCCAAGGCTCCAGATGCAAGATGCCTTAATATTACAAGAGCCGTGTCTCCATCTTTGGAGGCAAAGTTGTGTTTCTGTTTTTTTGTTGATGTTCAGTAGGAAACCCAACCCAGGATTAGAAAAGTCGAGGATTTCCAGTTATCGGGCATACCGCAGTTCACTCAATCACAGGTGAGAATTCCTTATAGGTTGTCAGGTTCCACTTCTAAGAGCAGTGCTCCTCACAGGACCACTGCAGCGGACATCATGAAGTCTGCTCCCTTAGTGACCAAGACCTAGGAGAATACGGGCACCAGTGAGCCGCAGCTGATGTACCTTCAGGAACTTGAAGTCCTTGAGCAGCTCTGCCACCTTCTCAGCATTGCGGCCTTCGTTCAGGAAGTCCAGCTCCAAAGGCATATTCTTCTTGGCCTCTTCGACCAGCCACATGAACGAGAAATCAGGGAAGAGCCATTTGACTGCCTTAAGCAGCACCTGTAAGGCACACACTGGATCTGTTAGGGCCAGTAAGCTAAAGACACAGCTGTGGTGAGATCAATGAGCCAAAATGTACCAGAGTAGAGCAGAAACCCAAATATCAGGTTCTAGTAAACCTAAAAGTCCAATAAGAACACTTCAAGTTTTACTGTCACATGTATTATGAGGAAGACTGAAGTTCTTATGCTGAATGTGCAGGGGAGGATACAGGAACAGGGGGGGACAATATGACGTGTGTAATACAGGACAAATAGCAGGACACAGAGATAAAACAGCGCAACACAAAAACGGTGCAACGTGGGAAGTGAAACAATAACTATGCACTAAACAGGTGGCGCACAGGGGATGTACAAATAGCCACAGCAGTAGCACATCACTGCGACATTACTGATGTGTCATAATCATCATGGAGAGGTTCAGTAAGACTGGATTCCAGGATGTACCTCTATTACAACGATGTCCCGGGAGCTCTGCGTCTGCACCTTGGGGTGCTGCACCTTGACGGCCACCGTCCTCCCATCATGCAGCAGGGCCTTGTGCACCTGGGCCAGGGAGGCTGCACCCTGGGGGGTGTCCTCAAAGCTGGCAAACAGCTGGCGGATCTGGTCAGGGGGAGGAGGTCGGCGGGCATTAACGCTAATAAACCCAGCGTCTGCGCGTCGTGTGATATTATCAGGGACAAGACAGAAAAAGCTCACAGGGCATTTTCAAGTACACGATTAATACAGCAGCACCATTAAAAAGCAAATCGCAGGGCTTGTGTCTATGTTTTATGCATGCGAAGGAAATGGCAAGACTCATCTGAGACGAGGCAAAGTTAACGGGCTCCGACGTGAGCGTGGCCTCCACGCCGGCTACGCAGACGGCTAATTTCCCCATTTGTATTCCGACCTTATTTAGATGGCTTTATTTTCCAGCACAAAATAGCCAACAGAATTTTCTAGCAGGGCGGGGGGGGGGGTTGTAGCTCAGCGGTTTACGGTTATCTTGCCCATGTCTGGAAGCCTGAAGCATTCAAATCCTGAGGTGGATGAATAGCCATGTCAGGCCCTCCAGCGAGGCCCTTCACCCCCACTGCTCCGAAGGCGCCAGTTCACCCTGCTCTCTGATCCCCACTCCTACGTCTCTTTGGACAACAGCGGCTGCTAAATGTACTGTAGTGCCTTTAGTGGTGACAAGGCGGCAGGTCCAGAAAACATCTTACGAAAAGACTGACAAGCCACAAGGAGCATCACCCCAGCGCGGCCCCTTATTTCTGCTTCACAAAGCAGCCTGATAACAGAAATTCTGCATCCTCCTCCACTTTTCTCGGGAAGGTAAAGTCAAAGTCGAAGCCGTGTGACGTACGTGCGGCTGTTCGCGTGGGCGGCGCGCTCTTCGCGGAGCTGCTCGAATTTCCTGCTCCGACGGCTGTTGAGCCACTTCACGGTTGCCATGTGAAACAGGAGTAGCTCCTCACAGACGATTCCCTGGCCCAGGGCTGCCGCTCTGCCACCTCAGCAGAGGGACATGTTGGCCCACCATCTGCTGTTTGCCCTCCCTCCTTCGCCAGCCCACCTGCTCCCCTGACTCGGCTGCTCAAACGTACACTTTCACCACCCCCTTTATCCAAAGGGGAGGGAACATTTCCAAAAGGAAAGAGGCCTGGCGTCTAGGAACGGCACACGGCTAAAAGTACTGTCAAGGGTGCAGCTAGTAGTGCTGCTTAGCATGCTGTTTACAGTGTAGCCGGCAGAACTACTATGTGTATAGTTAGCAAAGCTGCTAAGCATGTAGCTAGCAGTGTTGCTAAGAGCTGTTGTGCATACAACTAACGTTACTGCTAACAGCTCTCATGTGTGCAGCTAGCGCCGTAGCTAAGAGCTCCCTTATAAGCAGCCAGAGGTGCTGATAAGCGCTGTTATATGTGTAGCTAGCAGCACTGCTAAGAACGGCTGTGTGTGTAGCTAGCAGTGCTGCTAACCGCTGCCGCGTGTGAAGCTAGCGGTGTTGCTAAGGGAAGTTTTGCAAGTACCTAGCAGTGCTGCTAAGAGCTGCAATGAGCTTCGTTAGCAGTGCAGCTACTAGCTGCAAGCTGTTAAACATGGGACATAGAATGTTATAATACTAAATGCTACGAGTTGGGATAGCCAAGGGAGCTAACAAAATGAGCTCAGTTACTAGCACTGGTACAAAAGACACTAAGGATGCTTAAATTACTGGTTAGAAGTTCCACCAGCAGCTGAGCATAATTCATTGTAGAGCAAAGCAAGGAAAAACCAATAAGGTTATGGATTTGGATCTGCTAAGGTCTATTAAGCTAATGTTTCAAGGAACCTTCCGTTGTACCCTTGTACATACCGGTATAATGCCTAGTACCTCCTGTAAAAATAGCCACCTGCATAATTAAATCATGTGACAAACATGTAAGCCACTGGTCACTTCGGATAACAAAGGACGTTACATAAAAGGTTGAGGGAAAAGGTGGGGGCAATGAGACTGGAGGTCCCACATGGCAGAGGGGAAGTGACAGCATTTGGTGTGAAGCACCCAGGCACTAGGGGCGGGATGCCCATCCAAATCATGAGCAAAAAATAAGAACTGAGCAAGGCCAAGCTGTTCCCTGAAAAAAGGGTCACTGGACCTATGGATCCACTGTGCTTCCCAATTCCATGTGAGACCTGGAAAGATCTAAACCCCCAAGTCCTGGGAAACCTGCTAGCTCCTCCCCACACACCGCTAGCTCAGGTCACTGGCTGTTTACATTACTGCAGCCTGGATTATCACAGTCAACACTGACAAAACAGACCGGTCATTAGCATGTGCGGGAGACTAACATGAAGATTCCACACTGCCACCTGGAGGGCTTTTAAATAAGACAGCCAGCCTTACTGATTACAGCACCAGAAGGCAAGTCGGCAACAATTTACACAAAACCCTTTGGGACTCTTCAGGCTAAAAGAGAATGGGTGAGCCAATCAGAGGCTTGTTTCCTTTTGTTATGGGAGGAAGATCACACACTATTAGTCTATGGTGAGGATCTCCAACTGGGAACAGACGAGGTCCCACCGGCAATGCTCCAGTGAGCAAGTCATCTCCACCATCTCCAGATGCCAGTCACTCACACGGATCCTGCTTCAGAGTGTCCGCAGCAAACTAACAAGGACACACCCTCCGTGAGCTGGCCCTGTACCACGGCATACTAGACATGCCACCCATGAGCCACCCTACACCGTGATACACCAGACATGCACCATGGTAAACTGGGTGCAGCATTTGCCATCCGGCCAAGCACATGTAAAACAGTCCCGCACCCCAGCAAACCGCGCTCGCCACCCATGGCCCATCCCATTAATTATCTCCACAGCACTTCATCTCACAGCTGAATAATTCCAGCTGACCCCTGACCTCTGAGAGCATGAACACCACTACACAGAAGAGCAATTGGAATCAGAGCAGGACCACAGAGACAATGAGAAGGGAAAAAAAGAGGCAGACAGTGAAAAGACGGTGGGTACTTCATGCTGGTTGCTGCTGGGGGCACTACGAATGTGTTTATCGCTGTTTGATCGAGCTGGGCTCTAATCGCACTGGGTGGAAATCCATACATCACCATTCCCCAAGAGCTGGGGAAATCAATCAGCATAAGCGAACACTTTGGACCGCTTAACCTAAGGCTGAAGGGCCTGCAGAGGACCACAAGCACACGGTCAGGGAGAAGGCCGGCCTTCCAGCCACTCCCACTCTTCTTCAGCAATGCAGCAAAACTTCACAATATGTCATCATATGGGGGGGAGGGGGGGGGGAGTTAGTGAACCTATCTGTGAACTAACTAAAACCTACAAGGCAGCGGATTCATTACACTTCTGCTTGAAAGCAAAGACGCAGTGGCCATTAGCTGCGTAGTACATACCTAACTCATCTTCTATCTCTCTGAAGCTGAAATTCCCGGAAAGGGAAACACCCTCCATTAACATTTTTATCATAAACATGCGTTTCTCAACTCCTTTCAAAACGCTGTATAGATCCTAGGGAAAAAAAAAACACCACTTACTGAAATTGCTTGGAGATACTATCTTAAATTGTGCAGTGCCGTTCGGCATGAAATTGGTCGTTTTATCTTCAAAATGCAAAATCATTTTTTTTTGTTTTGTTTTCAGATGCTGCACATTAAAACGGACTGACTGGAATTTAACATTTAACACACTCAGGAAACATGGCCAGCCAGCTTCTGTGTACTTTATATCTGCTTGGCTGATTGGATCCTTCCATTTATTAACCCAAGACGAAAGTTAAAGGGGCAGTTCACCACAAAACTGAAAAAGATACGTTTCAGAGGAGTTTCAGTGCTATCGATCCATCTAAGTTGTCGTGCTGGAAGTTGCCTAGTTTTGGAGATATTCCCACACAGATATTCCCTCAAATATAATGGGAGTGAATGGCATTCTTTCGATGGTGTTAAAATGCGAAAAAAAATACATTCGAAAAATTCAACAGCATGTCTCTTACCAGAAAATATGACCCAGTTATTCAAGATAATCCGCAGACTTTGTACTGAGCATTTTAATGTACAAACTATTTTCCACACGCCAGTTATCTCACTGCACAGAAAATATCGGCAGGGTGCTCATGTTCTCTGTACAGTGATGCCTCTAGATGCACTACAGGGAACAGCACTAGTCACCAGTTACCCCTCTGGGGCTGAATCTGAGCTCGTCCGTACAGTGCAAAGACAGCGATGATGAAGACGACAGTGACCTTCAAAAGGGGTGAGGTTGTCACCTTGATCCCCATGACACTGAAGTGCTCGACAGTCACTGCCATGAGGATCATCTGGAACCACCACTGTGCAGACCCAGCAACGCACCGCGCAGACCTGGAAACACACTGCACAGACCTTGGCTTGTAACAGCACACAGACTGGCCAGAGCACCCTGCACAGACTGCCCTGCAACACAGCATACAGACTGGCCAACACGCTCTGCACAGACTGCCCTGCAGCACAGCCTATAGACTAGCCAGAGCACCCTGCACAGACTACCCTGCAACACAGTACACAGACTCACCAGAGCACCCTGCACAGACTGCCCTACAACAGCACACAAACTGGCCAGAGCGCCCTACACAGACTGTCCTGCAACACAGCATACAGACTGGCCAACACGCTCTGCACAGACTGCCCTGCAGCACAGCCTATAGACTAGCCAGAGAAGCCTGCACAGACTGCCTTGCAACACAGCCTACAGACTGACCAATACGCTCTGCACAGACTGCCCTGCAACACAGTACACAGTCTGGCCAGAGCACCCTGCAACACAGTACACAGACTCACCAGAGCACCCTGCACAGACTGCCCTACAACAGCACACAGACTGGCCAGAGCACCCTGCACAGACTGCCCTGCAACAGCACACAGACTGGCCAGAGCACCCTGCACAGACTGCCCTGCAACAGCACACAGACTGGCCAGAGTGCCCGGCATAGGCTTCCTTGCTATGCAGGGCACAGCCTGCCCAGAACACTCTGCACAGACTTTCTGCAACACACACTGGCAGGATAGGGGGTGGTGATGGCTACAGCTGGGCCAGGAAGCATGCCGACGTAACAGAGCAGCTTGATCCTA